GCGCAGTTGAAGAAAGCTCAAGAACGACAAAAGATAAATGCAGATGTATATCGTAAAGAGCAACCACAACTCAACGTGGGTGATAAGGTATGGCTACTTCGTCGCAATATCAAGACCCCTCGAACTTGTGACCAATTGGACTATCGTAGGCTTGGCCCCTTTTCTGTTTCTGAACAGATCAACCCAGTTGCATATCGGTTACATCTACCGGAGTCAATGAAGATCCATCCTGTATTCCACGTGTCTCTTCTTGAACCATATAAGACAGTAGATATACAAGGAAGAAGACAAATGCCACCGCCTCTTATAGAAGTAGATAATAATGAAGAATTTGAGGTGGAAGAGATATTAGACTCAAGGCGGCGCCGAAATAAGCTGGAATATCTTGTTCATTGGCGCGGATATGATATTAGTGAGCGCACATGGGAGCCATCCAGGAATCTAGCAAATGCATCAGTTAAAGTCAAAGTTTTTCATCAACGACATCCATCAAAACCAAGATGAAAACCTCTCTTATAAAAGAGACAAGATTGAGGCAAGATAACATTCAATTTCCTATCCTTGTTTGTAACTTCTTTGCATTTGTGACGCTAATTAGATGGAGAGCCAACAACCAGCGGATTCAACTCAAGAACCTTCGTTTGCTGACTTACCGGATGAGACATTGCGATTGTCACAACCTTCAAGACGATTCAACTGAGATGAAGACCCTCAAGAACGACATGTTCTTCCTCGAATAGATGGTGAGATACAACGCATTTGGTATCACGACCTTGGAAGAGATTCTCGATGTTTGGTGATATTATTGGAGATAGGAACGACTCCTGATGGTGTTTCAAATGTATTATTTGAAGGAAGTTATGAAGGCCTCAACAGTGATCAAATAACAGGGTGGTCTTCTCGCCCTGGAATGGGACACTATCGATGGCTAAGAGGACCCATCAACTATCTTCGAAGAGAACAAAGATCAGAGTATGTAGCAAATACAATTCGCCGCATATTAGATTTTCTCAATATATAATCACCGCTCCTCGTGGAACTCGTCCCTAGAAGGGGGGGTAATGTCACGGACATACATATAATTACCTATATGAATAGATAAAAGTATGTAAAAGTAGATAAAAGTAGGTTAATTGTGTAATATCTTCTAGAGAAGCTTCTTAGAAGCTTCATAGACGCTGCTTTGACTTTACAGGAGTCTATAGTTGACTTTTAGGCTAGAAACTTGGTCAACAAGTTAGCCATGTGCCACACATGTTGGAAGCTTAAAGAACAAGCTAACTACGTGGTCCATCCATAGAAAACTTGCCTTGTAAGCAAAGGCATGTGGCCTAGAAAGTCAACATATATTGGAGGTCTTATAGAACATCGCCATGTGGCTTTTAGTTAGATAGTATATATAGAGGCAAGAGTGAAGCCCTCTTCACTCTTGTCAACTCCTTTCTTGCTTCTAGTCCAGGTTCAAGAGTCTTTAGTTTCTTGTCTTGTGGCAATAGCCATTCCAGTTTCCTTTTAATATACCTACTTATTTATATTTTGACTCATTATATCGAGATAGCCTTTTGGTGTATATTTTTCCTCATCGAGTCTTTGTCCTTGACATATATAGATAGATAATTCAAGTAATATGTGTGTATTCTAAGAAATTGAATACAACATGATGTTTCAAAAGTAGGACATTTTAAACACAACAAAACCTTGGAACTTATTTCAAGAGATTTTTGGTGGATTTAAATGTGAAAAATTGCTGAAGCATTTATATAAAATTGTCATCTTTATTCTTGAGCAAAGACTACATTTCATTGTCTATATGAATTTCTTCGATCTTTATTTATTTTAAAACAAATATTGGTCATCTATTTTAGCAGAATTTACTACACATTTTATAAACCAAAATTCTGATAAGTTTATTTTTCTGCTAATGAATTGTTTATAAAAACACAATATAATTAAATTTTTATAAAAAAATATTATTGATAATTAAAAAAATCTTAAATATCTATTAAAATCTTAAACTTCTACTTAATATAATGTTTGATCAAGGATCTCATTTATTTTCAAAGCTTTAAACGAATAAAATTAAGATAGTTAAGAGAAATTTCAAATGACTTTATGTTTTTCTTCTAAAATTTATAAATATATTTAACATGTCAAAAAAATTATTTGAAGAATATTTATAATAATTATTAATTACAATTATAATAACTTGACAAATTTCATGCTGCCTTTAATTTTTTTAAATAGTTATTCACAATAATTTTAAAATAAATAACAACATTCATTGCAAATTATGGTTATTATCATAATTTGATATTTTTTTGAATTTTCAAAATTTGATATGTTAATAATATATTCTTTTTCAAGTTGAATATCAAAATATCACACAATAATTACAATGTAGCTAAAAAAAGTCTCAAAACAATAAAAAAATAATAATATAAATATATTTAGAATAAAAATCACCTCTATTTTAAGTCATTATTAAAATAAAGGAATTTTTTCTTACATTAAGACAAATTAACTTTGTAGCAAGTTAATTTTAATTTTTTTAGATTGTCTGTTGAATTAAAAAATAAAATATTTAAAATATTTAAAATAGTTACAGTCTTCAAAATCAAGAAATATTCATGATATTTCTTATTTTCTTTTAATAAACTTTTTAATTTATATACATACCAAAAAAGAAGCATTTACAATAATATCACACTAAAATTTCTAATAACTAAGAATTTAAAATGGAAGAAGTCTTAGATTTTTGTTTCTATAGAAATATGTTGAAATATGTTGTATATTATTATGTATATGAGAGCTATCTAAGAATCTTCTATAATACTAAATATTATTTCTATTATTTACTAATAATACCTATTTAAATTAAAAACCAATTATTGATAACAAAATGATGTGAAATAATAAAATAGAACATTAGAAATGAATTATTTTTATATCCACTTTGAACTATTTTTAAGATTTTATAGAAACAAGATATAGAATCAACTAAAAATAAATTTATTTCATAAATTATTATTTACAAAATTAGTAGATGAACTACTAATATGGTCTCAATCTTTATAACATTGAAATTTGAATGAAGATCCTCAAAAAAGACATGTCACTTCTCAAATAGATTTCAAGATACAATTCATGTAGTATTACAACAATAAAAGAAATCTTGATGTTTGATGATATAATTAGATATAGGTATTATATATATATATATATATATATATATATAACAATAAACAAATAACTAGATTGTGTTTTTAATCTAAATATTTAACATCATTAATAGCTTAAAGAATTTATCAACCACTTTCATACAAATATATATTAGAATTAGTAGCAAAAACTATTTAATAGATTTCAGACTTTACAAACTTATGAAGCAACTTAATTGTTTCTTTAAGAGTTTTTTTCTCTTTAAAAAAGAATAATCTAATAGATATCTATATTTTATAAATAAATAACAAAAACCAATAGTAGAAGTAAGTAGAATCATATTAAGTAGATACTATTTTTTTTAAAGAAATATATCTATATATATATATATATATATATATTATGATGTAAAGATTAGATCTTTATCTACTTTTAAACCTAGGCTTTATTATAGATGCAGTATTATGCCATAATAAATTTCTTTAGGACTTATTTATTAAAAATTCGAACCATGATTTGAGATTTGTTAGTCCAATTTGTATTAGTATATTTTAAAATGGTATTCAAATTTCACCATAATATTTTATAACTACAATTTTTGTCCTTCACATAAATCATTTATGGCTATTATACCCATAAGAGTATTTTTCAATATTTTTTTTCTATTTTTTTATTATTAATAAACATACTCTTTTTAAAACAATGTTATACCAATTAATATTGAATCATGACAAGAATCCGCACTATACGACTATGAAACAATGGATGGATTACACCACCTCCATCCACTGTGGTAGCAATTTGCAACTGCATCCACATCTCCAAACATTTCATACAATTTCAAGCACAACAATCTTTCTGGAATTCAAACTAATTAAACACTGAACACACATAAATACAAAATGAATAAGTAAATAAATAGAGGTTTCTAATACAAGTAAAAAAAACTTATACATAGCAACATATATAAAAATAGAAAGAGAAGATGTAGAGAGAGAGTCACGCCCATCACTGAGCCCACGTCACCCTTCCTCTCGCCACGTCACATAACTATTCAGACACCCGAAGGTTTCCGCCTAGACACGTGGACTTGAGGAAGCAGGGACGAAGTAGCGCGGTGGGTTCTGGAGTCTTCACCCGGATTCGACCCCTGGAAATGGCGGGGCTTAGAAGATGACGAAGAACTCCCAATTTCAACCACATCAACAATCAACAATCATCAGCAGCACCAGCATTACAAGTATTAGCAGTGATAGCAGTAGCGGAGTAGAGCCATTTAGTAGCAAAGCATTGTTGCTGCATTATTCCAGCAGCGCTGAAGACTACCACCACCACCACTACTACTACTAATTTTAGTGAACCAAGCAAGCAAGCCAGCATTTCTCTGCCTTGCATTGCATTCCATGTTTACGCATGCACGCATTCCTCCTCTCCTCTTGGTGCTTTTGAGCACGCATTGATGAGCGCTCACCCTTGTCACAGCTCGCTCTTCGACTGCCTGTAAATTCTTTTCTTGCGGTGTCTGTTGTTGTTGTTGTTGTCGTGCTCAGGGGAAGGCGAGGAGGGGATGGGCTTGTGCCGCGATCGAACTTCGGTTTGGATTTTGGCTCAGCGGGGAGTAGTTTATGGAGTTTCGGAAGCTGGTAGTGTGTGCATTTATGTGAATGCGAGCTTTTGAAGTAGGCGGGGTTTTGGACTTGGAGAGGTGGGAATTGTGAGAGTCTCGTGCGAGCGCTGGAAGTGGAGTAGGCTCTTGTGGAGAGACGCGGTTTGTTTAGGGTGATTCTTAGGCTTACACGGATTTCCACAGGAGCCTTAGGCTTACACGGATTTCGCTCTGGTTGTGTGTGTTCACTTCGAGGGAGGCATTTGCAAGAATTTTGGAAGGGGCTGTTTTTTTTTTTTTTTTTTTTTTTTTTTGGTGTAAATATAAAATTTTATGGTGGGGATCGTGTTTCACCGTTAGCGGTGGCGAGCTAGGCATCTAGAATCGTTGGTGGGACAGCGTTGTGCATGGCGAGGTGAGCTGGATTGAATCCACGGAGTTTCGCTTTGGGATTAGAGGCCTTGATTTTGACATTAGAGCTGGACTTGTCTGTAGCTGTGGAAATTCGCATAGACTTTTCCGTCGAAGTCTCATAGACTGAGCTTCCACGAGCTTCATGTATTCTTCAAGACTGTCTTGAATGTTTATCTGATTAGTTAAGCATTCCGATCGCCAACCTCAACGAAAGAATTTTTTCAGTATCGTTGGATACAAAAGAGTTTTTTTCTAAGGTTCTCGTGATTTTTGTGTATATTTTCACATAATCGGCGACCCACATTTTAGCGGGCTGCTACAGGAGTGTCACCACATTGCAATCCAACATGATTACTTTGATTGAAGCTGCATCGTGTTGGACTACTCCCCAAAATGGTGCAACAAATATCTCTGCAATTGCGTTTCCTCGCGCGCTACTTCTGATACTACTGCTTGTTGTGGGCGCTCTTGTGCTTATTTACGGGAAAACTCTGTGTCCTTCGAAGTTGATAATTTCTTTGACGTCGTCGCCTGTCATAGCGTGGGTTCTCTCCAAGGTTGAGAGGGACCCTGTGCACCAATCGATCAAGGATGCCAAGGAGAAGCCTGCAAAAGATCACAGGCTTACGATGGACACAGCTGAGGCGCGGCGTTGGTCAAGAGATGTCTTTCTGCGTGAACATAGCGAATGCAATTTCAACGTCCCTTCGGTAAGATGGATGTTATCCAGTGCATTTCCCTTTTCCATTTTAAGGGGTTTTTTGGTAGATTTCAGCTACAAACTGCAATTAATTCAAGCAATAAAATACAATGAGGCGTGAAATTCAGAGAAGTTGAAAGTCACCCTGACTGCAAATAATGACTGCCTTGATAGTAGATTAGAGACACCATAAAAAGGTCAGATGTGAGGCATCGTGCATATGATCTTTTGCGCTATCTGTATCGGAATTTATCACCTCATATCATCATTGTGGTGGATTTCAGTATTCTGAGGCGAGATTTCCATTGCCAGTTCGTGTGATTCAAGAAATTTTACACTAATGTGTGTATTCTGAGCCAATAGACGACTTTTGCCAGAATCTCATCTTCTTTGAGTTGTGTTGTTACAGAACAAGGACAAGGAATTTAGATTGATCGTAAACGAGGTATTTTTTCCATAGATTTTACGTTTCTTTTGCTTATTTGCGTGTATCCTAGACTATTGCTTTTACCATTAAAAAGGTGTGTCGTCATTTGAAATGAATAAAATGAAGAGAATTGTTTCTTTCCTTGATAGCTTCTGAAAAAGAAGCTATGATCATTTCATTAGAGAGAATAGAATCGTATTATTGTCGCCATTTTCTCGCTGAAAATTGAACTCATGTTTTATTCTGTTCTCGGATGTTTCAGACCTATGTGAAGAACTCACGCAATCTGGAAATTTTTGTGAAAAGTTGGATACCAGCTGAGAAACGTCCGAAGGGTCTTCTCTTTCTTTGTCATGGATATGGGGATACTGTATCATTTTTCTTTGAAGGTGAACAACGTTGTTCCTTCGTTAGTCATGAACCTCGTTTAAGATCTATTCTTTTCAGATGCCTATCTTGGTGATTCTTCATACTGCACGCTGCGCTCTATTTTTGAAATGGTGAAAAATGCATCATTCAGATATGTTTATTCTACCAAGCAGTATTCACGGATTAGCGATGGATGTTGTTAACTGTCCAAGAAGATGGTACTGTACTACGGAGTGTTGTAGCTATGTGCCGTGTGTGTGTGTGTGTGTGTGTGTTTTTCTTTTTTCTTTTTTCTTTCTTTTGAGTGCTCATTTGTCACACTAACGTATTCTGGGCTGTTCTAAATTTCAGGATTGGCACGGGCTTTTGCAATAGCTGGTTATGCTGTGTATGGCATGGATTATCCTGGCTTTGGCCTCTCAGAAGGGTTGCATGGATATATTCCCAACTTCGACATACTTGTGGATGATGTGATGGAGCAATACATTAAAATTAAAGGTATGTCATATTTGTGTTTGTTTCAGGTTCGGTATAAGTCAAAAGATCTGAGATCACTGATAAGTAGCAACTACATTTGCAAATAACTGAGGGTTTGAATTGTCAATTATATTTCTTCGGTAAGTTTTATTTCTTCGGTAGATTCGCCGAGTTAGTTTTAGCCCTCAATGATGTTTTTTGAATCCTCGCACTGTTTTATCTGTTGAGGTCCTGAATGACAAGGTATTGCAGTTGCATAATGTTATACGCCCTTGTTCTGAGTATTGTATTCGATTGTGCAGAGCGTTCTGAAAACAAGGGACTGCCTTGCTTTTTATATGGGGAGTCGATGGGAGGGGCTGTTGCTCTTAAGGCTTTGAAAAATTCTAGTATGTGGGATGGTGCGATACTTGTCGCTCCTATGTGCAAGATTGCTGACTCTATGATTCCTCCTTGGTACTTGGTGAAGATTCTGATCGTGCTGGCACACATTATACCAAAGGCGAAGCTTGTATCTTCTAATGATATTGCTGAAATTGGTTTACGAGATTTAGAAAAGAGAAAAAGAGTAAGTATACTATCTTATGAAATCTGTGAATGATTTTCATAGCAGGCAGGAAGACTTTACCAATTGGTTAACATTTGGGACGGATTATGTTTCTTAGATAACAGCTTTTGGAGAAGTATTTTTCTGACGCCACATGTTTGAATTTTCTAGGCTAATAATAATCCCGTGGCCTACATTGGGAACCCACGACTTGGAACCGCATTGCAGTTACTGCAGACCACAGATCTTATCGAGAAAAATTTGACAGAGGTTAGTCAGTTATACTGCGTGAAATGACATCATTATGCAGCATTATATAGTTATGATGGACCGTTTGTGGGTGCGCTCCTTTGTGCGTCTGTACTCGAAGTTCCTATCTTCCAGTAATCAGATTCTCTCCGAAGTAAGCAGTTGCGAACACTCACGCAGTTCTGCAGAAAAAACAAAGAAACAATCCCAAACAACTTTGGAGAATAATCTTCTTAACGCTGGTGTCCCTTGATTTTCAATTTTTTGCAGGTTTCACTACCACTGCTAATATTGCATGGTGCCGCTGATGAAGTCACCGACCCGGCCGTCAGCAAAGCACTTTATGAGAAGGCTAAGAGTAAGGATAAGACATTAAGGCTTTATGATGGTGCTTGGCATTGCCTTTTACAAGGAGAGCCTGATGATGTTGTCAAAAACGTCATGATGGATATTATATCTTGGCTAGACGTGCATGCCGGTTCTAAGGGAGGTTTTGATCAGAAAAAGGAGACCAGAATGGAAGAGCGTGTTGCCGTAGCCTCTCCAAATTTGATTGAATTTGGAAAACTTGATTCAATCAAACAGCTCCTGTAGTGTGTTACATAAAGAACTTTTAATCGCAATCTGTTAGATTTCCGCAATGGGCACTAAAAGCCATTTCAGGGGACTTCAGTAGCAGCAATCTGTATTGTGAAAGCTCAGGCCTTCTGAACTTCTGGAATCACTCATTCCAGCATGGGTGTTGTCATAGCTTCGGCTACGTGAAGTTGAAACTGTTGTCACCACCACAAGCTTTAATCAACTGTTTGATGAAAGCGAAACAGAAATTCACATTTGCTGGGAGAAAAGGATGGCTAAACACTTCAGGAAATCCTCAAGAGAACATATGAGCTTTGCAGGTTTTTATTGCGGAAATTGTAATTCCAACAACGAGGACCACTGATAGGTTAGTTTACGTACATGTAAATTTAAATGTTGTAATTAGAAATGGGCATCAGTCAACAGTGATATTCTAGATTCACAACGGAGTTCTAGGCAATCACATGCAATAATGGTGATCAATGTATTGAGCTTTGGCTTTGTGTACACACTCAAGTTTGATATCATTTGTATGCGAATCTATGAGACTGATTGATGCAATTTGTAAGGATTGTTTGTCAACGTACGAGTAAGTTTGTTTCTTTAAGTCTCGGCTGCTTCACCGTCATCATTTGGCAATTAGCTGAATCTTTCTCATATAATGTGACATTGTATATTTGTTGAACATGAAGAGTGATGTTTTCTCTCGATGCATTAACTCAACCTCATTGTGGCTCAGTGGATCCAAGATTCTGTGAATGTAGCATTCGACGCAGCCATGTCAGAGAATCACAGACGGCTCTTCTGGGGCCCAAGTCTAAAGAAGCCAGTGCATTTTAAGTTTGTGATAGGCTAACGAATTAAGCAATCCCTCTGCTTGGGATGGGGTCAGTTGGGAATCGGCGCTAGTTGGGGTTTAGACATTGGAAGAAGACGAGAATGGAGGATTTGGTGATAATAACACTATGAGTTACTGTTTTCGGTTCAGCAACTCGTATCTTACATCTTCTTTTCAAGTCTGTTAGCAACTATGTTTTCGCTGAAAACTTCCACGCACTGCACTCTTTGCAAAACGAGCCATGTTTGAATTCAAAAAGATTTACAATTCAAGAGACAAACCAATCATATTGCTTAGTGTGCGTGTGTTTTTTTACCTTTAAACTAGTTGTAAGTTCTTGAAACTGTCATTAAAAATAAGCAGTCAGGTTATATTCTACAGCTTAAACCGGAGTTGGAGTTAACAGCTGGCCAAGTTATCTTGATACTTTCTCCCACTCTCTATATCTAGTCTATATTTATATGAATGTTTCTCAATATTCAAGTAGGATAGTGAAGTGTTTCTTGGAGATCAACAAGTGAGTGGATGATACACAGTAAATCAGCTTTGAAAGACTTTTGGGGCACTTGATATTTCTTCACACGATTTCCACCAGTAACTGGGGTCCTCTGCAAGCTGTGACGTTTGTACATATAATTGGTATGTTGGTTTTTGCGATAAGCTCAACCGCAATAGTCGTTTATTTTCTTTGTAATGTCATGTGACGTAGCTTCCCTTACAACAATTATTTGAAGATGCGAAGGGAATATTATTTTATAACTGATTCACTAGTATATTTTTCTAAAAACAGTTTGACCCCAAGACGAGATTACAAATCTTACTTTGATGGTCCGAAGGAGGATTCTGAAGTCGCGGACGCGTTTACTGTTGTGGTTATGTGTAGTGTCAAAGGATTCCCGATGAACAGTGTTGGTTTCTGTTTGTAAAGCTAACAGATCCTGAGGTGATGATTTTCAGAAACATAACGGGTGTCGAGCTGGTAAATGTTACCAGCTATGTTTAGTGCTGGTGTGACGTAATATTGAGCAACCGCTGATTTATATCGATTGTGGGATACCTGAATCTCTTTGAATATCTGATAGACTGCTGAATACACGTGGGCTATTTTCTCACAAATCCCGAATTCCGATTGTTCATAGTATACGACAACTCACTTAATTCAGTGCATTTTAAATTCAAGGCATGATGTTCACGTGTTTTTGTCACATTGATGTGCAATTTATCAGAGGTAGCATTGCAGTAAAGCAGATGTTGAGAGACGAGAGTTTAGGAGCGAGAATCCCGTGATTCTTTATTACAACCCGATATTTTGCTCCATCTCTAAAGCACCAGAGGTTCAGGGCTTTATGAGACCATACGATTGTAATAATAAAATCTGAAATGTTTGTTGCCAAACGCGACCCAGCATTGAAGAAACAAACCAGGAGAAGCAGACGCCAAACCCCCACAGTCCCAGCAGGAGAAACAAACCAGGAGAAACTATGAAGACTCGTCCACAAGAACACGAGACTAGTTGAGCATCAGAAATGGAATACACTAATCCCTGTCTCCGTAAGACTTGTCGCTTGCAGCATACATCATGCACTCCTGGTCTTCAATTAGCTGTGAATTGAGATAGGCGATTATATCATGCATTTTTCATGTAAGTTATTCCCTAAAACAATAGCAAACTTGACATCAGTCTGTCCACCTTGGGGATCTCTTACGCTGTCTGCCACTTGGGTGGTTGACGATTCAGTAGGCTCAGACATGGCTGTACGTTAGTAATTACTAGGAAGCGGCTCGCAGAAGCGGGCTCAAGTTACTCCGCAGAACATTTAGAAGTAAGTAGCGGACATTGTCAATGTGTTGGAACATGTGTCTGGGAGCTAAAGAGTCTTCCCTTTGCGAGATAGAGAGAGTGTCGGCCTCTCAGTGAGGAAAATGACAAAACTCGGTGGAAAGAAATTCCTACCACCCGGCACCTTCCTTCTTCCGCTCTGTTGCGTCCTCGAAATGTATCGGATCCCACTGCTATTATAGTACGCAGTTTGGATGAAGTCCACCATGCAATCAATCGTAGTATCAGCAATCAATCATGCTCATTAGAAACAAACAGTAGGTCACTGAATCAAGTCATGGATCTAGCTTGCAACTGCACCCGGCTCTTCAAGCTCGCCAGGGCCACTACGTCTGGACCTAGGTGACCCACTGTTTGCGACGCTGTGCGAAGATCGGGAGAATACCCCCATTCTCTTCTCAACCTGGACACAGATCCGTCGATTCCGCACACGTCGATATTTTCTTACAAAACCATGATCAACTTGGGAGGCGTATCAGTGGCGGTGTGAGGCAAAACTTGGAAGCTGTGTGAAGAAAACTTCATAAGATAAGTGACTTTTTCTTGCATTCATTGTAAACATATTACACTTAGAATCAAATTTAGTAAATTGTAATACGTGTGTGCTTATGATCTTCATGAAATGAACGTTGATTATTGAAACCTTTTGATCTTCATGAACTGAAAGTTGATTCTTGAAACCTTTTGATCAATATATATATATATATATATATCTATATACACACACACAATTCAATCAATTTGAATTCATTAAATAATTTAAAACTCAGAAGGTCTCTTAACATCTCCAACCAAATGTAAATAAAATTGCAAATATTGAAGCACATAATTTGAAATTTATTGTAATATTAATATAAAAGAATACTACATTAGATTATTATTTTTTTCTTAATTTGTAATACAAAGATAATAAAAATAATGTATATAGAAATTGTTAGTTGAAGTTGCATTCTAACAAAGATGACAACAATGATTTGAAAACTCATCAAAATTCAAAAAAATCAAATATAAAATAGATAAATCTAAATTGTTCATAAATGAAACAAAAGGTTTAAATAGTCAACATTCATGAAAAGTGTCTACAACTTGAAGAACAAAACTTCAACCATCAACCAAGTGACTATTTGAAGATCAAAGTTTCAAGCATCACATGGTGATTGCTTAGAGTATTGTTCTAGTACTGATTGTACTAATAAAACAACTAGGTGTCTTCTGACAATACTGATAAAACAATAATAAACTTTGTCTTTTTGGTGTTGCTGCAAGTTGTCCGTTTAGTGAAAATATCACAAAGGCCACTAGTCATGATGCCTCTGTAATCAATCAATCGCAGGAATAATGAAGGATGGTGACAACTTTTTGCCAATTCGCTCCAAAACCTGATGATCAAAGAACAAAATTGCGATGTATTTTATGATGGAGAATGTTCTAGCCTTTTTCCAAGCTACATGGACCTGATTTTCAAACTTAGGTAAGCTGTATTACCTTAAGAAATGAGGAAGGGATCATGTCTAGGAACAAGAAGTCGACACTGTAGATGCATGTTTCGAGAAACGCACTGTAGATGCGGCACATGGCATGTAGAGGATTTGCCGTTGCCGACAACATTGGGCCACACGTTGATGATGCTGATGACGTCTTCCTCCGCCGAAATAGGGTCCCGGTGCACTGGATGTCCATGGGGGTTGCAGTTTAGGAGAGAATTACTCATCTAATCAGGTTCGCCGCTTAAGAAAACTATGGATTGAAGAGGCGTGGCGACTATTGCAAGACTACGGCGCCTTGAAATAGTCCTGGAGGGAAGACTAATGACTTTTCCAGGATAACGAAAGTTACGTCGACAGTGTCGACTCGAGCTTTGAAGTAAGACCAGGTCACTGGCGACATAGTATACGTATGGATGAAAACTGCGTGGCTGTGAAGTTCTAGCCGCATCAAAGGACTTGTAAACTTTCCGCTTGTGAGTTTTCCACTTCCACAAATAAGGTGAATAGGAGGTGTATTCGAATGCTGCAGGGTTGGAATGTGGTCTTCCTGAGCCACCCGATGTACACTTGGAGGTGCAACTTTGGAGATAAAAGTCTGAATGAATTTCCACAATCCGAGCTGCGTACATTACAGATCGAAGACTTGCAGTTGAGGGCCCGTATTCCTAAGCATCAAGCAACTTGCTTATGGTTGGCCAGCACTCAATGAAATCAGCTGCAGCAACGTGACAGTTAATTAGCCATTTGCCGTGGCTTTTTGTTCCACGTACACGATATGAATTCGGTGTGATTGCTTGGGCATGAGTAGAAAATTAGGCCTACCTTCGGCGTGGATGAACGCCGCCAGTACCTTCGGGATATGAGACAAATTTGTCAATCTTCCCACATAACCTAAAAGGGACGCCATGCACTATTGGTGTCCGTTGAAAGTAAACCTTTTACCAGTGGATGGGGATTGTCCTGCCAGTGTACTGGAGTAGATTTAAGGCGGAACGGCCGTCTTCCGGGGTGCACAGTGGAGTCGAGAACCCTGACTTGTTAACCCTATATGTGGTCCAGAGTTGCCGATATGAAAATGTGTGTAAATGTTACAATGACTTATTTCTGGTACTTGGGATATCGTGTTTCTTGACTGCAAGTGACATCACTGAGAAATAGTTGGCGCTGAAATTATTAACAAAATAGATACCACCTGAAAGAGTTTCAAAAGTAAGAACTTTGTTCAAAACAACTCACGACTAAAACGCTAGCTGTGATCATGTATGAGGATTGCACTTTTATGACAACCTCGAAATGAATCACGTCCCATTATTCTGTCCTCAGAATTCAATAAACTGTTTCTACAATGTGATACTTCCCTCTCTGAACTTGGGGCTCACTCGTTGTTCAAAATGATTACAACACCCCTGGTCTTGAATCGCTGTTTCAGGTGACATAGTGCCTGTTTTTTTAGCTTATTAAAGCTGAATAGTATTATGAGTTCTTGTTCGTGCGTACAGAAAATATTCTTTCAGTGACTGGAGTCAGGTCGACATTGCTTTGTGTAAAAGCATAGTTCATGCAAGTTATGCGTACCAATGAACCTTCGGATTCATTAGTATCGCCACTTTCGACAGTGAAAACTCAGCAGAAAGACGTGGATGCTCGATCCTGATGTAAAGCTTTATGGCAGAATGGGCAGCATTGAGCTGGACGAATTATTTGACAAGAAATACATTTGATACTACGGAAAGGTATATGCGAAACGGCTGACATTTGGAACACAATTAATCCCTATGGTAGATATTCTTTACATAGAATAGTGGACACCAATACGTCGTGGACGGGGTCCGATTCTGCAATGTCTTCTGCGGCTCAAATTAGTGGTCAGCCGCTCAACGCGTGGCACTGGTTAGCATGGGCTGTCCCAGCGAGACAAGCGCAGGATGTAGTTCCTGCTATGCCGGTGGAGTGGCCGGAGCGACTCGAGCAGCATACAGCATGCAAGTTCATTCCCGCCTTCCACACACCTCTTAGACTCATATCCTACTCGGTTATCGGTCTGGCCTAGTGTCTGAAGAAATTGCTAACTTCGCTGGTGATCTTTACCTAACGAAAGAAGTTTTCCCAGAAATGGCGTTCATATTAAAGCAGATTTGTACTGTCGAAGTAGATATTGATCACCTGATATTGGAGACAAGGCACTGATGACGTCGAAATTTTACTGGACAACTTTGAATGGTACCAGATTGATACCTCCACTGCATGTGGTTCCAACATTTTTATGTGGATATTTATTTGTGTGGTAGAAGCTTCATCGTGGCTGTCCGCATAATTAAGTGTGGCAGCGTTGCGAACTGTTAGACGTCCTCGGAAGAACGAATTTCCTGCAGAAGCAAGAGAAGTAAATTTCGTGGCCAGATTTCAATGACAATATAGTGTGCAATATTGCTCACACATAAGTTCCAAGTTTGAAGAAGAGAGAATTTACGAGTCTTAAATATCTGAGGCTGTTGCCTCGTTTACTGAAGGATATCTTGCAAGGAGAAACTTGTGCAATATCTCCGCTCATGACATTTCCAGTCGCAAACGTATACTATAACTTTTACGAATCTGTCTTATCCTACAGATCACAGAAGTACAATACAACTCTTCGGTCGAAAAACGAGTGACTATTTTCTGCTTAAATCACTCATACTAGAATAATATTAAAAATTTAGCTATTCTTGTGATCTTGACTAGAGAAACCCTCAAAGCTACACTCACTTGGGTAAAGAGACTTCGATCTTATGCTCTTGACTAGAGAAACCCTCAAAGATACACTCATTTGAGTAAAGTGGATTTGATCTTACATGGTGGCATGAAAGGTCAAGACTGATCGACAGTTTTTGGCAAGTAGAGGTTTTTTTGTTAAACAAGGAAACTCGGTTGCCACTTAATAAATACTACTCCTGTATCACTGGTTTGAGAATATCATCTTCTATTTTAGTTTGTGGATCAGCTACTAGATTTTCTCGTGTAAGGACTGCAAATGCCCGAACTATTTAGCTCACTCGGCAGGAATTTTTCTGAAAATGAACTCTGCAATGACAGTTTTGTATTATTGTGTGCATCGAGAGTTTATCTCGATGATTGCTGCACTGTGCTGTATTTCACAGCAAAAGGGCATCATGCTAGCCAGATCAAGCTTGGAATGCTAGGAAGTATCACAGCCTAAATCGCACGCTCTCAATTTTCCTCGCTTCCAGTTCATCGTCTGTACAAGAAAACCACACCAACGGTGCTCTCGAGAAGTGGACCTGCGTTTCATGGGGCACTAGTAACGACGGTCACTCAGTTTTGCAAAACTGCTAAGCAAATATAAATATAAGGATGAAGGCACACAAGTGGTCACTAGTGATGTGATCCTGCATATAGGTGGGGATCGCAATTAAAACATAATAGACGACACTATCACTGCATTAGCCACCTCCAAACCTCATTACTCTATCGCATGCATGTAAGAAATAAAAATCTCCTTGAGAGTACATACATGACAGTGTCAGAATGAACCGGTTTCAGCCAGTTGTCTGCTACCTTCTGAAGAGTGACGAATCGTAGAGATCATTTGAATGACAACAAGGATTATCATCAGATGATTAAGGCTACGAGAACATATGATGAAGAACCACTAACTCACAGTCTCTTCTCTCTAGCACACTTAGAGGCTACAAATAGTCTCCACTGACCTCTACAACCCACGTACCAAAAGTAATTTCAAATCTGCTCATAACTTCCGCAGCAGAATACACAAAGTCCGAGAGCTCTGTGGAATTTAATGAACACAAGACCTTCGCACGTTAGCTTAGTGGAGAAATCTGAAAGTTGAGAACGGCAGGTGGGTCATGAATCTTGGAAAATCAATCAACAAGTGTAAGGCTAGCACAACAAACAGAATAATTCATCGGTTCAAAACGAATCAGACCCAGTATCTATCCGATTTTTGGTTCAAGGTACTAGATGTGATTCAAGAATATAAAATTGCTCCCCAAACACATGCTCACAGGGTCAGAAAGAAATAAGCAGGGTAGTGTAATCGTCAAGCAGGTGGGGGACAAGAATAAGGTTGCGGAAATTCGCCAGACGATAAGCCTGCAACAAGTCGGTGTATCACGAAACATGGAGGGAACACCTTCGCGAGTTTTTGCCGCAGTAATAGCACTCTTTACAGAGAGGAGAAGAAGCCATGGTACTAGTCATAGTTCTGTCATCAGTCAGGATGCCAATTTCCAAATCGAACTCTGTAAGGTCCACAATACCTTCAGCATGAAACTATGTTCCAGCAAGCAAAAAAAAAAACACTCATAAGGAATAACGTCACTTACAAACGAGCAGAATCGACCGCCATCTATAGCTGTTAAACCTCGTTTGCGTCAACCAGCTGTAGACATATACTAGGGGAAGAGATACAGAGAGCTGTGCAGACTGTGAGAGCAAGAGTGGAACTTGGACTTTAGGCTTTCCTTGAAGCACCAGTTCAAGTCACCAAATCCTCTTCCACACACTTTCTCATAGTCTGAACAGCTCTCAATGTCGCTAACCCTCTTTCAAACACTCGCTGCTGTCACCGATGACGTCACCACTCTCTTCACTGCAGCAGCACCCCGCCTCAGGCCCTTTGACTCCCAGCACATGAGCGCCTCCTCCAGCGTCCGGAGGCGCAGAGCAAGGCTCCTCAAATGGGACTAATCGAGGGCGCGGAGCTGCAGAAGAACATGACGATGAGGGAACTGTCAGGAGTGTGCAATCTATAAATGGAGGCATGAGCCTGCATGGGCCCATCATCGAAAGTAAAAAGACGATGTTAACCTTTGCACTGTGCTAATTCTCAATCAGCAAAACCAGTCCCCCGCCCGCTTTACTTTTCTTTCCTTACCCTTCATGGTGAAGAGGACGCAAGTCCTGCGCATATTCTAGCATCTAAAAGCTAGTAATCCACCCCTAGCATACTCCCCATTTCTTCGATCGGACACTCGTATCAGCTGGCAACCAGCGGTTCGATCAGACCCATGCCGAAACATTTGCTCCGAATCCCAGCCTAATCCACGATTCTATTTGGATAAATTAGAATGTTGATTATGCCATCATATAGAGTGTGTGTGTGTGTTAAGAACAACAGAAAATATACGAACAATCGCATATATATGTATGTATATATATATATATATATATATCAAGCATTAGTATATAAAAATATAATTTGAATTCAGTGAACAGAGAATAGTAATAATAAATCACAATATTGAAAAAAATTAAAATGATGTGTTGGCCAGATTGGGATATGGTAAATTTAGTTGGTGTACACTTAAAAGGAATGGTTATGTTGATTTTGGTTTAATTATGTAGACAAGGTGAAGAAAAAACATTGAGATGTCTACAAGCTTGAAATGAAAACTGTATATAACGTTGTTTGTCGTTCACAGAATATGAAATTTCTACCAAGATGATTCACATGACCTATTACACTCAAATATTTCCGTACAGTATGATCTTAACAATAAATAAGGCTTTAAAAATGAGTCGGATTTTATCATTTTGATTTTTTGATTTTTTGATTTTTTTTTTTTTTTTTGATTTTTTTTTTTAAATATTCACACAATGAAATAAAATCACATTATACTTTTATTTCACATTATTTAACTTTATATCCTTTCAGAATATTGATACTAATAAAAATAAAAAAATTATTATATATTCATATGGCTTCTTTAAACTAGCTTAGCTGAATCACTTACCATAGATATTTTGGTAATCCTAAGCTGATCCTTAACTTCTGAGTGTTATCTATGGTAAGATCAGAAGTTAGATCAAGTCCCACAATAGGTTGATGGACAATACTAGATCACGCAGATCGCACTAGTATGCTCACAACAGTGAATACCATGCTAACAAAAACAAACATACATAAACCGACTGTGTGGGGCAATCATCCGACGTTCATCTGAATGAACATCCAGCTGAAGTCTCACAAGCATTGTATCGCAGTGCTTTCAGACATGAAGAAAGCACACCCTGGAAGTAAGAAAACAAGGAGCTGTAGGATGCTGCTGAAGCATCACAAAGCGCTCGCATGCAATGAAACCCAATGCTGCTCCAGCTGCTTACAGCTGATGAGCTAGCAGCGTTGGAACATCAATAAAATCCTCTTCAACATTACGCACATGGGTGTTTGTCCCCAACACAAACCTTATAAGTGATGAAATGAGAGAGAGCTAACAAGATGCAGCCAGTTTCTAATGCTTTCACTGAACAGCAACCCGAATGAAGCTGATCCTCCAGGTCCAACGACCTCCGCGAACTCAACACCCCTGAGCCCACAAAAGCATGTTGGAGCACTGCTCCGGGTGACCAAGGCCAGAGCCACGTGAATGCTTTCCATAGACCAATGCATCTAGGATTTGATAATAAATTATACAATAATGATGTGGCCCAATTCCAAGTGAGTTTTGCTTGCGGACAGTTCCAAAACTTATACATAATTTTTTGGGGGTTTAAAGCTAACAAAGGGCACAACTTGGAGATGTGATTGGGTTATGTCTTTTTCTCCAAACATTTACTGCTACACCTTGGTGCCATTTCAACCATATTAATATTCTTTTTGGCCCTTGGTTTGAACCATATTAATTATGTTGATTATGTTAGCTGTACTAACCATCCAACTTTCTAATTAAACATGAAGTCACTTGGTAGTATGTTATTCCATTTTGAGTTTTACAGGCTCTACAAAATTTGTTTAGATTGGAGAAGTTCTTTATCTAGTTTTTCATTGTAAGTAAAAAATAAGGATCTCATTTTTAATATTATTTGAAAGAATCAAAGTCCATTTTAACAATTGGATTATAGGTATTTTCAGGAGATTCTTTTATATTACCAATTTTATTATATTCTTTTAAAATCACTCTAATAATTTTATACAACCTTCAATTTTTTGAAAAGTGTTACTTCTTTCTTCTGTAATAGCCATTACTTAGATTTTTGATAAGATTTGATTTGTATTGAATTTTTTAGAGATTTTTTCTAATATTTTATATTTTATTTTAGGTAGTCTAAGAATAATATACCATTTATTTTCTTTGATTTTTACTTAAAATATTAAAGCTCAAAAATAATTATAGAGATATAATCTTCCATTTCTTTACATAGAACAATTTATTTTTTTGCTTAAGAACTTTGTATCTCCAATGAGATAAATTCTATGCAATATAAAGGATATCTAGATTTTGTGTTTCTCTAAAAATCCTCATTATTATTAATAAGTTGAATTCTTTTCTTATTTTCTTTAATAATTTGAAATATTAGGTTGATAGTTGAAAAATTGCATATACTCTACATTTAACTTTTTAATAAAGTCTTGTTGCTCATATAGAATTTTTATAAAATATCAATTAATAAGAAATCTCAATCCTACTATAATAATCTATTTCAAGTATCATAAAAAGACTTTGGATATTGAAGATGTAAAAAATTAACCATTATGGGCTATATTTTGTTAATTTTTTTTTAATTTGAATCCATATTTTGAAGCTTGTTTCAAATTTGTTGTAGAATTTGAAAGTCACTTAAAATTTAGTCTTTATTTTTTAAAAGCTTTTGATTTAGTTGATATTATTATATATCTAAAGAATTGGTATAAATTAAACTTTCTTAATTGTAGGACATTTACTACCTATTTACACAATAAAATATTTATTGCTTCTTTTAGATTAATAAGATTCAATCCATTTTTATATCAATACTTACAAAAAATATACAATATTACTTTAAATCTAATTAAATATTTTATATTGTCTTAATAAAATTTCTTTACTATTGATTTTATTTTCTTGATGGTTTATAAAATAAATACCTATATAAAAATAAAAAAATATATAGTAAATAAAATAATAATATTAAAAATAATAATATTTTTTTATAATATTATTTTTTAATATCAATTATTTATTTACATTTTAATTTTTTCTATTAATTAGATAATAATAATTTATATATCTAATAAAAATCCAAAAGAAGTATTCAAAATTTTATTGATACTATCATTTTTAATCCATGTTTAATTAAAGTTATATGTTTATTAAAATTATTAAGTATTGAAGAAAAGAAGTCTAAAAGCTATAAACACTTAGCATCAACAAGGATTATAGTCTAAGAGAAGTGTGGAAAAAGATATCTCTTACTTCTAACACTTTTTACTTATAGGTAGAGTTTACATCCCAAGTACATAGACTTCATCCAGAGTCACCTTCATTCTTTCAATCTAGATTTAGATCTAGATTCATCTTAATCTAGTTGCCACCTTAAAATCGTAGCTGCCGCTATAGTAACTTCTTTTAATCCTTTGGTGCCTTTTGACTATCAACAACTTACTATGCTTAATTTTTATATGGTGGTAACTAAGTAAGAACTTGTTGAACTTCAATACTTCCACTTTGCTCATTTTCAAAAGGCTTTCAATCATAATCTCTAAATCAAGTCATGATATCTATCTTTCACTAATGCCTTTGTAAGCACATCAACAAGCATGTCATTTATAGCACAATACTTTATACCTATTATTCTATCTTCAATCTTCTCTCATATGAAATGATATTGAACATCAATGTGCTTAGTCCTTGAGTGGTGTTTTGGATTCTTGGCAAATGCAAGACATCCTTGATTGTCACATATAATTAGAATTGCTTCTAATTGCACTAGACCAATGTCTTCTAAGAGTTGCCTTATCCAACATGCCTCCATCATTGATCTTACAATGGTAGGTTGTCTCTTGCAATTCCATGAAATAGCTCCCACTCCAATGAAGAAGACATATCCTATTGTGGATTTTTTATCATTTGCATTTTCAATCCAATCCACATCACAATAATCTTACAAATCAATGTTCTTACTACCAAGGCACAATTTGAAGTCCTTTGTACCTTTTAAGTATCTCAATATCCTCTTTACTATTGTCCAATGCATTGGTCCAGCGTTAAATATGTGTTGGCTTATAACACTTATCACATATGCAAGATCCACTCTTGTGGCCACCAATGCATACATGAGTGAGTCTATTGCTGCCTTGTATGGAACACTTTGCATCTCACCTTCAACTTGTGTAAACTCCTCATTCGTGAGCTTCATCAACTTCAAAATTATCTCCAAAGGTGTTTCAATGGCCTTCCACTCCTCCATATTGAATCATTTCAACACTTCTTCAATGTACTTGATTTGGCTCATTGTAATAGTCTTGTTACCATGATCTCTTACAAATTCCACTCCCAAGCAATAGTGCAACTCTCCCAAATCACTCATCTCATATTCCTTCTCTAATTTGGCCTTGATCCAATCCATCTTTTCTATATTATTAGCCAAGATGATCAAATCATCAACATAAAGGATTACAATCAACAAGAATTGTCTAGATTGCATCACATACAATGAATGATTGGCCTCACTCCTCACAAATCCTTTATTGATAAAGAAGGTGCCAATTTGTTGGCACCATGCACGTGGTGATTGTTTCAATCCATACAAAGATTTCTTTAATTTGCACATAAGATGTTCTTTGTCTTGTTGTACAAATCCTTGAGGGTAGTCCATGTAGATGTCTTTTTGTAATTCTCCATTCAAAAAGGCCATCTTCACATCCATTTGATGTATTTCCAAATCTATTGCTATCCCAATTGTTACAATAGTCGTAATGGTAGTGAATTTGGCAATGGTGTCAGGGAAAAGA